GTTGTGGGGTTGTTGGCCAATGTCATAAAACAATATGTGTACTACTGTTTCATGAGAAACTATTTGTTCTGTAAGCCTTCACCTGAAGTACAATTAAAAAAAAAAAATAGAAACAAAACAAAGACATAAGGTAGGCAAAGTACAGTGCTTTCACACAGGAAATAATAAATGTTCTATTACTAAAGTTTTGTTATCCATCTAAAGTTCATGTATGGACTCCATATGTACATGGACTCCAAGTAAGCTTGTTCATTTCCTGTGGGCTTGGGGGTCTCTAACACAATTTGTAAAGCTTACTGCATGACAGGGGCGGATTACCAGCAAGCATGGTATGCACCAGCTTACAGTAAGCAAGGTACACATGGGCTTAGTTGTATTTACTTACTAATCATGAAATTGTGCACTACAAATAGTAAGTAAGCACGATTAAGCCAGTGCATACTTTGCTTATGGGCAGTCTATCCCTGCAGCATGACTACTTTGAAGCTTAACCAGCATCACTCACAAGGACCCCAGCAGGACATTTGTCGTGTTGGCAGTGACAAAAACCTAAATGTGCAGAGACACACCAAAAATTAATGTAACAAAATATATTTACTGTGAGTAGATATGGTTCAAATTGAGCAGCATCAATCCAGACTTATCAGGAAGGCCCTCCAAAGAGGGGACAGTGAAAGCAGGTTATATAGGTCATTATTATGTTAATTTCTCAGCAATTAAAATCAAAACATTTGCAAGGTTCCAGGAAGTTGGAGAAACAAAGTCACTAAGAATATGCCATACATTTTCCAGTCAGATTCTGGGGTTCCTGCTCCTTAGAAACTGGCTACATAGGTGATTCTTGAAAAGAGCCCAATGCCTAAAGCAAAACGAGCTGCTTACTAGGCTATTCGACTTGAAGGTGACTTTAGGAAAACAGTTCTTTAAAGGCTCAAGGGTCAAAAGAACATCTAAGGGCAGATAGCCTGTGTGGGTCACCCCAGTTCCATGAACCCAGAAATCTGGATTCCAGGAGAATCAAAACAATTTTGTCAGCAGAAAGCAAGCTTGCTCAGTTCCAACTGATTAACATTGTTACATACATTGATTTTGTAAGAGGAAGGTATACTGGATTGGACAGACAGTGGTTTTATCCAGAATATTGGTTCTACTGATCATTTTGAAATTGGTTTCATTGGAAGGATTTTCTCTGTCAACAAATAAAAAGATTTCTCTGCTTTGTTGCATGAGTGCTAGTTCTCTCCTTCTGCCATTGAACAAAACCCTGCATCCCTGATATTTACCACTAAACTAAACCGAAATCAAGCAGGGTTATGATGGAAGGAAACTAACGTTACTTGTGGGTGTGCAAGGCAGTAGTTTTTATTAACCAGTTTTACTGATGAGGGAAACTGGTCTTTGAAAAGTTAAGAAGTCCAAGGCCACACAGCTAGTAAGTGGTGGAGCCAGAATTTGAACCATTTGTGTCCAGTTCCAAAACTGTGCTCTATCACAGATCTCACTATGCCTGCAAAAGCTTTTCTAGTCTTTTTCTCCTGAGATAAAAACTTATAAGATACTTTGGAAAGGACTGTTTTGTTTTTTCCTGTGAAATGCCCATTC